GTGGCTGCAGCCGTGCGCGCCCCGACCCGAGGGGGCGGCCTTGAGCCGGGGCCGCAGGCCCCGGGCGCGGGGAGGTCGGCGGGGCCCTCCAGGTCCGGGGCTGTCACCTGGCGGGCACTCACTGCCCTTTCTTCCTGTCGCTGAGTGGGAGGAAGGGGTGGTCGGGCGACATGGGGCCCACAGCAGAGGACGCAGAGTCTGTTCCCGGGCCAGACACCTCGCTGCCAGGTGGAGACCTCTCCAGACACCCTTCCTAGGGAAACCTCGGCATTCAGGCAGGGCTTACGCCTGGGCGTCCGCGACCCGGGCTCCTCGGTCTCCACACGCATTTGTGTGAATTGCTCGGGTCTAGGGTTGCAAGTTCAGATTTAGTTGTCAAACTAAGGGTTCCGAGTCGTTTTACTAGTCACGGAGCCCATAGATGGGAGGCTTGATCTGACTGAAAAGTGTCGTGGTGTGAAGTCACCTGATTCTTCGTTCCCTGGTTTTGCTGAATGTACTCCTACTGTACGTGCACAAGGAGCGCCCCTGCGCTCTCCAGGCGCGTTTGCTTGGCAGCCTCATAGCACCACTATTTTTAGGAGTTTGGCGTTTAATCATTGTAGTGTGAATTGAATTAATGGGATCCTGATTGAGAATTTTGATAGTGTTCAAAGGCGTCAAGTTTACACTCTTATAAACATTAGAAGCTTATGGGTAACCACGTCCATGGCATAGGTAAGAGTTTATGAAATATACTAAAATTGATCTTGTTTTCTGATTCGTTTGTCTTTATTTACTAGAGGTTTTTGTAAGACATTTGGTGAAATGCTAACATGAGAGCTCACTTGAAATAATAATCTTTGATAGCCATTTGAAGATGTTGGTTATATACTTCAGAGATGATGACAAACAAGAGATTTGCTAAGAAAAACTGAAAATGAAACAATATCTAATGTATTGACTGCTCATCAACTTTGTGGTTGGAATTCCCAGGTAGTTGATTCTGATTGCCGAAGCTTTGTTCAGTTTAGCCCTTTTGGGACGTGTTGAAGGTGATTGGTCCTGCCTTCATTCATCTCCCCAAGTGAAGTATTTTATATGCATTTTAAAATGTTTTATATATTAGCTGCTTTAAGATAACTTGACTTTATGACAGTCATGGTTATGAACATTGTTTTTATTTGATAACACAGTGAGAAGAAATGAAACTCTTGAGAGGAATTATAATTTGTGGAGTCAGTTTTGACTCATATGAGTGACTCTACATGGAATTTCAGAGGCTGCAAATCTTTGAGAGAGCTCTTTCAACTTTCTCCTCTAGGGGGACTGGTCGATTTGAACTGTCAACCTTTTTGTTCGCTGCCCAACACATTATGCCCTACACCACTAGGACTCCTTGTTCATAAGTAGGGTCCATCATTTTTAAAATGCTTTGTTATCCATAGATTTTTCTCTTTCTTTCAAGGGATTTCAATTCTTAATTTAATCACCATCCTTATCTAGTGACTGCCTAGAATAGTCCCTTTCTACTCATGCAAATCCAGATCTATTACTGCTTTAAAAACCCAAATAAACTTGGTAGCATTTGTGTATAGTAAGAGCAAACAGGCTGTAAATGAGTAGAGATTTCTGTAATTTTTGACTAGGGACTCTTCCCTCTGCTTTCTGGAGAAATAAAATATGGGGTCAGACTTCGTTCTGGTAGTTCAGTCATAGATAGATGTTTTGTTTTTTCAGAGAAATCCTTACTCCTTTTAGAAATTTAGGGTCCTTATAAAGCACATGCACCGTTATATTTTATTCACTTTGTAGGTTAAAAGGAATATTTAGATATTTTTAAATCTACCTAGCAAAATATTTTTTGAGGTTCTTCAGATTTTTTATTTGAGAGGAACAATCCATTATAGGGAAAATAAATGGCAAATGACAATGAGCCTGGCCTTAAGTCAAGCACTCCTAGCTAGGCATGTTTAGACATTTGTTTTTAGCTTGCATACATATGATTAACTTTAGGATAAAGTTTTTGAACATTCACCAGTGAAAACATTAAGACTCTTTCAAAATAATTATTTTTCCACATGTTGGGTGTAATTGAAAAAACTCCAACTGCCACTGAGTCTGTGTTCACTCATAGCAAGCCTGCATGGAGTACCCAAGGCTGTAAATTCTCAGCAGGAGGAGATTGTCCTTCTTTCTCTCTCAGAGCCGCTGGATTAGCAGCACAGTTCTTAGAGGTTACTCCACGAGTGCTGGTGCATGTAGTCTTCAGTTTAGGCAATTGCTAAGAGTAACTGGAATAATTAATTGTGATTTTGAAAATGCTGCCGTATAAGACATATTTTAAAAATGTCAAACCTTGATAGCAGGAGGCACATAATTTTTTTTTCTTTTATGTTAAACTGGAACAATTATTTGACATACACACAATTGTAAACAAACCATTTGACAGGCTCACAGTCAGGTGAGAAAACGCAGTAACTGCTGCAATGGGCTCAGTTGTATCAGAGATGTAGAGGATTGGAGGATGGCACAGGATAGGCCAGGATTCAGATCTGTTGTTTGTAGAATTGTTAACAACAGTCAAGGATTAAAAAAAAAAAATAAATCCAGGGGATTATAGTAGAAGTTAAAACATATTTTCTGTAATGGTCATTTATGATAGTGTGTTGTTGTGTGCCTTGGAGTTGGAATGGACTCCTAGCTGACCAACCAGCAGGTTTTCAGAGAAAGGAGACTGCTTGTCCTTATCCTGCAGAGAAGTTGTTAGAGAACCGTTTGCTTTCCGTGAATGAAATGATAGTTCAGCTTCTTAGTACTCGGCCACCAGAACTCTTCATTGGAGTGCAACTTTATAGAATGAGGGTTGTTGTTGTTTGTTTTTAACTGAGGTGGCAGCAACGAAACTTTTTTTTTCTTTTTAAAGTTTAGTAGTATACAGATTATGTGATATGTAGCCACTTTGAAACTTAAAAATGCAGGAATGCTATTTACTTTCTGGAAAATTTGGACATTTATTGTATAACTCGGGAAGGTAGTTGTGAATATAGAAAAATTGAATTTGGTTCCACATGGAGATGTTACTCTAGTAACTTTTATCTCTGTTACCCTTCCTCATCTAGAAAAATTGGCTTTCTTTACAGTGTTAAAAATAAATTACCAGAAGGGAGCACACCAAAAATATAACTGTAGTTAGGATAATACATGGTGCATTTTTAACATTTTGTTTTCATTTTAAGCATCTGTCAAGTTGTACAGCTAACCAAAAGGCTGAATGCCCCTGGTGGTTAAAATCCACCAGAGTGGCTGGCTACTCTGTGATTTCCCATTCATTCATTGCCATCAAGTTGGACCAACTCATAGCTGATGTACCAGAGGGTTTTCAGAGGCTTTAAATCGAATGGGTTGAGATTGCCTATTTTTTTTTTTCTCTCTCCTGTGGAATAGCTAGTGGATTTGAACCACTTGCTGCTGGGCTGGCAGCTCTGTTCCCTGTCCAGTCCAGTAGGCTACTAGAGTTCCCTTGTGATTTTTCAGCCTTGAAAACTTGAAAGGTCTCTAGGAGTTGGTAGCTGTGAGGGTTTTTTTAATTTGCTTGTTTTTTCTTAATATGTCAAGGTACTTTATTTTAAAAACGGCCACAACACTAACCCGTAGGCCATTCTTCCCCTGGAAAAGCCACAAATGCTTGCTCAGCAACTGGATGTGTTCTTTAGTATCATGTGTGAAAAGTGAATAAAAATGTATATAAAACAAATATTGATAGCTTTGAGTTTTTGAGATGAGGGATTTAAAGCAGTATTTCTATTGGAGGGACTGTATGTGACTTGTCTACATTGTAGAAACACCTAGAGGCATTCTTACGGTTTTTCATCAGACTTTGAAGGCAGAGACATTTCTCTATTTAGAATCTTCATGTATAATTATAGATGACTGGATAAAACCTTGAATGAAATTTAAAAAAATGATGCTAATCAAGAAAAGATGGGGTGGTTAAAAATTAAAGGTAGAGCAAGTCACTCAGTGAACTAGAAATTATTATTATTTAGTGTGTGTGTGTGCGCGCGCCTTCAAATTGGATCTGACTAGTACAGGAGAAGATTGTCTCTCCTTCTCCAGCAGAGCATCTGGTGGATTTGAACCACACCCCTCTGGGATTGCCACTAGGCCACCAGAGCTCCCTAGGAATAGAAAATTTTAAATTAGAAATGAAATTATTAGAAAAATTACAGAACAATTGGTGAAATAAGTTCAATTCTTGTTATGAGCGTTGAAAAAGATGAAATGATCTGAGTGTTGACAATGCATCTCAACTCAGCTCCGCTCCTTACCACTAAAGGACTAGAGTTTTGTAAAATGTGTTTAACTAACTACTTGCTATCTGTTTGGGGCAGATGAAAGACGAGCACCTGGAGGTGTCAAGCCATGTGCCTTCGAGTTGGCAGTGCAGCTCCCTTGTAAAGTGTGTTTGAATAACTACTTGCTACCTGTTCGGGGTAGAAGACTCTTCATAAAGTAGTTGCATTTATGGGCAAATATAATCTATGAGAAATGGATTTTAAGTCATGGAACATGATTAAGTGTCCTGTTTTCCAAGGGAGAGAAATATTTCTGATTGACTTTTGGTTTGGCCAGTATAGGAACTTGAGAATTCCTTTGCTAACCTACCAGCTTAGTAAACATAAATAAATTAGATACCTATTAATTTGTTGCGAAAATATGTAACTAATGAGAAG